AAGCATAAATATTCTTTCCCCGTACAGAAAATTATCAGCTATTATAAAGACAATAGGCAAAATATCTAGCTCCCAGCTTTCATCCATTTACTCAGGACAATGATTTCAGTCTGTACAAAGAACAACAAATTGCAAAGACACTTGCAACTGTTAATTCCCTAAAAACACCCAAAGAACGTTTTACTTGAAGGCCCAGTTCTGAACTCCTAGTAGAACAAAGTGCTCAAGGAAACAATGAGAGTTTTATTAAACTGAAGATTCAGCCCTTTGATTTAAGTTAGATTCCAGTCGCAATTCTTTGTGAAAGTCACTATACTCAGAGTGGACAATGTGACTGATCTACACACACACACACACACGTTATAAAAAACAGAGAGCAGGTAACCTTAATAAGCAATAAACACCAGGAAACCAAAAATATTCAACTTATTTTGCTGCCTGCTGAAGGAAATAATAATTCTAGAGATTAACCGGCAAAAGAAGATGGTTTGAGCTTTCATCATCAGAAACACAAAGGAGCAAAGTGGTTTTCTACAGTTTTCCTTTTTTGAACAAGTAGATTAGTTTACATAGCAGTACCACAATGCCAGAATGAACTCCCACGCGTATTCCCAATGCAGCCAGTATTTCCTACTGTCAGATCAAGCAGGGGGGGAAGTGGAGAACTCATTTATACCAAGATCTGGTGTCAAATTTTATGCTTGTTTTGGTCTCCAGCTTTCACTTTTCTCAGTCTGGATTTGGCCCCTTCTTTCTTTATTTCCCTCTGTGTAAATGTCTCTGCTTTTCTGCTGGCTCACAGCCTCTCTGTTCCCTCTCCCCCTTTTCTTCCTTCGTTTTTATCTCTGTTCTTTTCACCATTTACTTCACCTGGTGCCTGCTGCTGATGCAAAGCAAGACAAATGGAGACAACTCATTTAAAGAGCTAGGGTCGTCTGCAGTGGAAAAAGACACACTGCACATGGGGCCAAAGTAAATGACTCTGCATGACAGTACTAAGAGATTACCAGCATAGGTTGCTAGACTGATTTAAAAAAAGAAGAAATGCAGAACCAGACTGATACAGCTGTGAAAAAAAAAGGAAATGTGATTCTAGGAGGTACCAGGAAATATATCAGGCCTCATCTGACAGATTGGGTCCAAGACTGCAATACTGAAAAACAGCAGGTAAATCAGTCTGGGTAAAGGAAAGCAGCAAAATAACTACACAATACATATTTTGCAGCTATGCTGGGCCTTTGCAGATCCTGGTACAGCCGGTTTAGAGCAAGCTCAGGTATTCCCACATAGCACTGCATCATTTATCCTGCTGTTAGGTCAACATAAACTCATGATCACTTGATCCAAGAATATTTTCCACAATCCGCTTTTGTACAAATTCATTGCTACGTAGTCATCTCAAGGCCAAAAAAAACCCCTTTCACTCTGCATGAAATGCCTTGTTGGGCCCCACCGCTCAATACACTACAGAGATAGTCCATCCTCTTCATCAGCATACTAATTTAGGAACTAATCTGTGTCTTAATTTTTGCTAAATTTTCTATTAGGAGTGGGGTCAGACTTTTAGGGTTGAATTCTGAAAATACTTAAGTAAATACTCACTGCAGTAACACAAGTAGCATCACTAATATCTACTAAGCTGTTCATGTTTGCTCAGCTGATCCATTGAAGTAACTTTCTGCTCAAATTCTAGGCAGAATTTGACAAAGTTTTTATAGTGACTGACACATCCCCAAGAGAAGTAAACATTCCCTCGAAATTATTAAAGCAATACTCTGTTTTACTATGTAAGCCTGTCTCACTTTTTCTGTTCCTCATGATTTTCCTTATGTTTGCTCAACTAATTCAGCAGACCTATGGATTTTGTACAGAGAAAGCAATTTTTCTTTTCTTTAGCATACATCAAAAGTGTAACGGACCTGGACAAAAGCCCCAAAACAGCCAGAACTACTTTATATACAGTCAGAAGTGTTGATGTATGTGCATTTTCTCACTGCACAAGACTGTGCAACATGGTTAGGAAAGCAACAACATAATGCCTTTTGAACAAGAGAGGATATGAAGGAGGAACAAAAGATCCAAATAGCTCCATTTTGCACTGGTGTCATATTCTCCTCTCCTCCTTTTTCCTTTCTTTTTTGGGTATTTATAATGAAGTGAGGACAACATGATATAGTAACTAGAAACAAAGTTAAATGGTGCAGCAGTCATTTACAGACCTGCTTTATAGTTTGTGAAACGGACTGACAGGAAAGAGTTATTAACTCAGTAAATCTCACGTTGCTCATGCAAAAGGAAGGATTTTACCCCTATCTTACAAATCAAGCAAAAGCACTGTAATTTCTAGCCATCACTTTACTTTATCAAGACAAATACTGCATTTGCCAAGAACGTTACCAAAGGACATGGCATATTCACTACACTGCAGCTGCAGAGCGGGCACAAGAGGCAGTTTCCTTGGGCATTTGTAAAAGCAGTGTCAAGACTGAGCAAGTGCTTCCGTGCTGAACTTTCTGTTCTTGTAAGCCTAGTGAACTACACCTTGTAGGGACCTTGCGTCCAGTTTTCCTCTACTTTTCACTTTGTGTTATCCTCTATACTGTAGCTATAGTATGGCTGTTCAGCTGCTCTCCGCTGTGCAGGCTAGCTACAAAATGATAACCGTTCTCTTCTAAAAGGGTGAGATATCTATTTGGAACAAGGGTAAATGACAGCACAGGGTCAAGGCAAAGAAGAATCCCCATGCTTGATCCTATTTGAGAGGGAGATATTTCTGGGAGTCTAAAGGAAATCCACTTCAGCTGTTGTCTGAGTCACTAAGGCATGAAAACATGCTTTTCACACCTTGTGAAAATTCTTTAGTTGTTTCATGTACTTCCAAAGAAATCCAAAGGAGGCTTTACAGCTGTCATGTATATAATATTGAATGACTCCACTTGAAGATACTCAGATATCAAACTAAGTTGGCCATATTCAAAAGTATAAAACTTGGTCTAAAAATGCATTCATTTTTTCTCCGATTTAGAAGTCCTATGGCATTTTTTCTGTTTGGAATATAGCACTCTTTACTTCATGGTTCATTTTGGCTACAAAGCATGCCAGCCACTGGCCAATGCTGACACAGCATGACCACAGATGAAAAAACAATCGCTAAGTCCCACTAAGGTTCCATTAGTAACAATTTATTTTCAGAAAGCTTCAGTCTTTCGAAGAGAATTAAGTATTGAGTTTAAGAGCACAGACTAATTAAGGAAGATGTCTAAGGATAATGGTAAAGGTGTTCCCGAAAGTTATATCTCAAAACTGCATAGCAGTCGCTAGTAACTCAGTATAAGGAAAGTACTGAAGACTTTTAGACTAAAGAACTTAACGGATATTATATTTGGTTTATATATATATTTACACATAAAAATATTATATTTATACACAAGCTTACATGCACTCTGAAGAAGCCAGGAATCTTTACTCTGGCACAACAGAGCCTAGTATCATTTTTCCAAAGCAATAATCTGCTTCAACTTTTTATCTGTGATCTGATTTATGAGAGGAATGGCAGAAAATATTTAGATAATAATGCAGCAGGTGTTCACACACATTCAAGATCAATAAATTCTGAAAGTCAAGGGGAAGAGAATTGAAGTAAGCTAGTCCAATCTCAACTCCTTTTGATAACTAAATAGAACTGAATAGAGGGAAGAAAAGCTTCCACAGAAATAGAAGCCTTTGAAAAGTCATATAATTCTTGTAGGTAGGTTATGACTAACAAGCATACAAAGCAGTTTGAAGCCAATCCTTTTACTGCTGTGCTCCACTTTGGGTTAGAATATTTTTTAAATATTAATATTAAGCCATCAATCATGTATTTTAATACCCACTATTATTTATTTTATATTTAATATAAAATAATAAATCATATGTTTAGTAAGCTTTGAAGCTTTTAACATATATTCCTTCAAATGTGTAAATATTCTTCTATTTGTTATGGCTAAGATACTGCTTTCAGTCCAAGGCCTTCTTTTCAGAGGAAAATGTATTTCCCAAAATACTGACCTTATCAACCAAAAAATGATTATTCTTTGAAGTATAAAGAGCATTTATTAGCATCTATGCTAAGTTTTGTTAAGATAAGACATTCAAACCCTGTCAATTTTTATGGTATGATTACTGAGAGGAGATACTGTTACTTTTTGATGTACTTTTAAAAAAAAGTCTAAATAGTTAATTTCTGCAAATTCAAATTTATTAACTAACTTTAAATACACATGTAGTCGCCCCTACTATGGTCCTTCCTGACATGATATTGCAATAACAGAAACTGAGATGTGCTAGATGCTTACTCTTTTTATTTTATTTATTTAATTTACATTTTCTTTTGGAAGAGTCACTGGGGGTAGAGAGGGAGAAGAAAAGGTAGCAGATGCTTTTTATTATATTATTTATGATTTGATAAATACAGCCATATATGGCTTTTCCCAGTGCTGTACAACAACAGAATCAAAATCTCAATTACATCTCAGTCATTTTCAGGAAGAGAACCAAACCAGCAGTGAGTTTAGTATTGAACCTAATAAATTAAGCATTGCACCTGTCCCTAGGTTACCAAAGCCAGTATGCAAAGGCCTCATCAAACTGCTTATACACCTCGTCTTCACAGAATGTATATGACTGAATTGTTTTTAAATTCAAGTTTCATATTGACGTTGCAAGCTGGTACAGGCACTGTACCTTTGTGCAATTTTGCATGCCAATTAGAATACTGGAGTTCAATCTTAATAACAGGTTGTAAATAATACTGAAAAATGTTTAATAACTATGTTACTGTAACATCAAAATACATTGCATGTCAGTTGCTACCCCTCCTTCCTTCAAGGGATCTTCTGCAGGAGGAGAATCCACTCCCACAGAATTTCTTGCAGGTTAAGAGTCTAAGTCACATTTTGTTATCACCCTCTAAAACAAAACATTCAGAGCACTCTATCTGCACACCCAAACACACTTACACGGTCCTTTTTAGGGGTCCCACACTGAGCTTCTTGCACCCTGCTTGTCCATAGAACGTGGCAGCTGAGGGCAGAGCAGACTGCATCTTTCCACCTCGCGCTGCGCAAGGTCCCTTACGAGCCGGGGGCGGCAGCGGTGCCTGCGCTGCCCACCACACTGTTTTGGGCCGTGAGTCCACGCAGTGAACAGGAACCACCGTCACTCACACATGCCTAGCAACTGTACCAGCTCGGACTGTCATCACAGAATAAACTTGTGCAACTCCCTCGACCGTCTTCTCTGCGGCTTGCCTTTGAGCACAAAGAAAATGAACTGACGACTTTTAACAAAGATTATACAAGCATACATTTTTAGATAAATGTGAGTTTGTGCTGGGTATACAGATGGAGAAATTTAAAATACTGGTTGTACCAGCAGGCAGTTTAACAATTCCATTCATGCAACATACGTGATAATAGGTGTCACTGTTAGCAACATAATTTCAGCAATATTTCAGTTTGCATCAACAAAAGCACTTGGAAATTTTTGCCCATAAATCAAGACTGACTGAAGACAGTTCCATGCTGTAATCTTCAACCCTTATTCTGTATCTCAGTGTCTTCCAAATCAGGTTTATTTTGTTACCTTTCAGTCATCTCACTTAGTAATGCTCCATTTTCTATAACAAGCCAAAAAAAGCATGTTGGCCTGGATGTCCTTCCTGTAACACCTGAAGTCCTTAACTTTAGCTGTGCAAACACACACTTTCTCCATTCCTCCCTACGCTGGCAGAGACACAGACTGTGACATAATTACCACTCTTATACCTTTGTAACCTCTAAGCTGGTTCCAATATCAATGAAAAGACTCTTACTAACCTTTAACAATATACTCTCCCTGTAGATCTCTATTCATGCAAACTGATGCAGAAGAGACAAGCTTTTAGTCAACCTTTAAACCAGGTTAATTACTACTAAATAATAATCCCTTAAATATCATCTCCAATAACTCTTCAGCAATCCCCCTGAAACAGGTACAATAAATACTGCAGCTTCTACAGTTATTCAAATCCCTTTTTCCTGAGCAGATCTCTTCCAGCACATCTATTTCAAAGGCAACAACTAGAAAAAGTTCTTCCTACCCGTCGCTATGCGAAGACAGCGTAGCTTTCTTTACTTGAGGGGGGGAAAAAAAGTAAAAAAAAACAAAAAAAAACCCCAAAAACAGCAAAACCGGTACTAAACACAACCTGTAACTAACACGCCATCGCTCTGCTTGCTCCACCGCGGTGAGTAAGCACATCCCCAGAGGCTGCGAGCCCGCAGGTACCCGGGCGCGCCCCCGCCGCCCGGGGAGGGTCCTGGCCGGGCCCCGCTCGGGCGGCGGCGGAGCCTCCGCCAAACGCCGCGAGAGCGCGGCGGGACCCGGCGGCGCCCAGCCGGCCGCCCCCC